TAATTATAAGTCAAATCAATCAATCGATTAAGACTGATGAGGTAGGTTAGTTTTAAAAAAAAAATTTATTTTAATTGATGATCAACAAGAAATTATTTGGATTTTTATTTTCATCATCTTTAAAAATTAAATTTACATTATTTATTATTATTGATCTTATTATTGATTTTTTGCTGATTTGTTTGCCGATTTTGTTGTTGATTTTGTTCCATTGGTTGCTGTTCCTGTTGTTTTTGTTGTTCCTGGATAGGTGTTGTATAAGATGATCTTAGAGTATTAAAATATGAAAGGTAATCGTAGTTAGGGTCGTAATTGTTCGATTGACTGCATTGATTATATGGATTGTAAGTGATAATGGATTGTTGATCAAATTATTTTATTTTTACCTTTAAAATATTTAATAATAATAGGATTGCCAGATATAAATCATTTAAGGATTTTCAAAAAAGAATAATGGTCGCCACAGATGTTTTTGGACGAGGAATTGACATTGAACGTGTTAATATAGTCGTTAATTATGATATGCCTGATGGTCCTGATAGTTATTTGCATAGAGTAAGTAATAGATGGCACAACTAAAGAATAATAAAATAATTACTATTGCTGATAATTAATCCACGTGATTATAAATACTAGGTTGGTCGTGCAGGACGGTTTGGTACTAAGGGAATTGCAATCACTTTTGTAGCCGATCAAGACGACGCAGACATTTTATTCAAAGTACAGGAAAGGTTTGAAGTAAACATTACTGAAATGCCAGCCGAAGTCGAAGTAAACGATTACAGTAAGTTTTAGTATATTGCACTCTTTGCTTGACTTTGATATAAATGAATAATACTAAATTTTCCATTTATTTTTTAGTGGCTTCGTAATAATGAAAAATGTTAAAACATCAAATGATATATAATAAACAAATTAGAAAATTCCTCCTTTCAAAAAAAAAAAAATGCATCTCTTATATATATTTTTTGGGGGGATATTATTATCATTATATAAATATAGAATCTTTTGCAGAAAAATAAAAAAATCATTATTTGTTATATAGTAATAGACAAAGTGATGCCACAAAAATTTCAGGGATCAAACTAGACAGTTGTTTAACATTTTTGGTTTCATTTTTGGTTCTCATTTTTATTATTCATTATAGTATTATTAATTCTTGATTGATTCTTATCATAATCGTTCACAAAAGAAAAATAAACTACCCGAAACAGTTTTACAAGTATTACGCATCGAGTCTCTACTATA